CCCTGGGTCGCACAAGCAGTTTGCACTTCACTAACCTAAAGCTTGGTGGTTCAAACCCACCCAGCAGCACCAAGGAAGAAAGACTTGGCAATCTTCTGCAAGAGGACAGCCTGGAAAGCCCTCTGGAGCAGTTCCACTCTGTAACACACAGAATCGCCATGAGTTGGCAGTTGGCTTAGTTTTTTATTTATTATCAGAGGTGAAGTATATCATTATTAGACAAAATTTGAAAATTATAGACAGAGAAAAAATTGAAAAACAATTAAAACTTTACATTCCGACCACATAGTGACCTCTGGCATCATCTCCTTACTGCATACAGATTATGCCAGGTATGTAAACATGCATATATATGTGTGTGTAAATACATATGGATGTGTGTGCCTTTGAATTATAGTGCTGGCAAAGAATATTGAATATACCATGGACTGCCAAAAGAACGAACGAATCTGTCTTGGAAGAAGTACAGCCAGAATGCTCCTTAGAAGCAAAAATGGCAAGACTACATCTCACATACTTTGGAAGTGTTATCAAGAGGGACCAGTCCCTGGAGAAGGACATCATGCTTGGTAAAGTAGAGGGTCAGCGAAAAAGAGGAAGCCCCTTAACGAGATGGATTGACACAGCGGCTGCAATGATGGGCTCAAGCATAACAACAATTGTGAGGATGGTGCAGGAGCAGGCAGTGTTTCATTCTGTCATACGTGGGGTCACTAGGAGTCGGAACCGACTTTGTGTGTTTGCAAAGTATGATCATACTACCATTGAGAGGTCTAGAAAAGTTGTAAATTTTACAACCTTCTTTTTTCAGTCACAATCTCTGTTCCAATCTCTGCCTCTTGTGGTGTGCCATCAGGTGGATTGTGACTCATGGTGTCCCAACGTGACAGAGTAGAACTGCCCTGTAATCTTTAGAGAAGCAGACTGCCACGTCTTTCTCCCTTGGAGCTGCTGGGTTCCAACTGCCAACCTTTCAGTTAGCAACTGAACACTTAACCATTGTGCCACCGGGTTTCCTTGATCTCACCTGTTACCCAGACCATATTCAGATGTTCCCAGTTGAATCCAGAATGGTGTCTACATCCTGCTCGTCCAATTGGACATCTTACCTGGGCCCATACATTGCATCTGGATGCCAAGTCCCTCACCAATCCAAAACCAAACCCACTGATGTCGAGTGGATTCTAACCCATAGCGACCGTATAGGACAGAGTTAGAACTGCCCCATAGGGTTTCCAAGGAGTGGCTGGTGGATTTGAACTGCTGACCTTTGGTTAGCAGCAGAACTCTTAACCACTACGCCACCAGGGTTTCCATAATACATGTATAGGATAATGAAATTTGAATAATACAGAGATGATAATATAAAAAATAAATATCTTCTCCCCACACCCCCCAAAAAAAAGAAAGAGAGAAAGGAAGGAAGGAAGAGAGAGAATAAAGGTAACGTGGTAGAGGTGGGAAGACGTAGACTGATTCCAGAGCCATCCGGAAGAAACTGATGAGACTCCTGATAGACTGGGCCTGAGAGGGAGGGAGAGGGGGCTTCCCAGCCGGGCTCACGTAAAGCCAGGGCAGGTTGTGAGGTTGGCATTTCTCCTTGACCTTTTTGTTTACATTCCCTGCCTCAAGGTCGAATTAGCTGTGTTTAATCAAGTTAGTTGAGCACGTGAAAATCCCCTGTCCTGGTGATGCCAAGGAGGAAGGGATAATCAGTCTATTTCCAGAACCCAAAGAGGTTTAGGATCAGAAGGAGCTTTCATCTAGCTGTTGTCCCCTGCCACCACGCCTTCCCCAAGCTAGTGTGGTGGCTCATGTGTCTGTGAGGCCCCCCCGCCGTGAGGAGGTGGGCAGGGGCCCTGCCTAATGCTGAGAACTGCTGAAACGGCCAATTCACCCACTGCCACGCTAATCCAATTTCCATCCTGCTCTGTAAGTGGGATTTGGCTTCTGGACATTGAGACCTGGGTGTCCGACCTCCTCTCGGACCCACTACAAATCCCCACACACATTGGCGCAAGCTGCGGCTGGGAGTCACTGTTAGGCCCAGCTCGTGCAGAGGAAGCTGCTGGCCGCTCATCCTTGGAGCCCACAGAGACCTCACCACCCGGGCCCATCAGTGGGTGCTCAGAAGTCACAAGGTATGTGACAGCTAGCCCAGGCCTCTCAGAAACCCAGGCGGGGGAACAGGGAAAAGCAGAGCATCCTTCAACAGGAGTCCCTGGGTGGTGCAAATGGTTAAGCACTCAGCTGCTACTTGAAAGGTTAGAGGTTTGAGTCCACCCAGAGGTGCCTCGGAAGAAAGACCTGGTGCTCTACTTCTGAAAACTCAGCCACTGAAAACCCTGTGGAGCACAGTTCTACTGTGACACACATGGGGTTGCCAGGAGTCGGAATTGACGTGACGGCAACTGGTTTAACTGGTGATCCCTCAATAGGTGAATGGATAAACAAACCGCAGTACAGCCATGCAATGGAAGAGTAGTCAGAGACAAGAAACGAGTTACCAAACCAGGGAAAGACATGGGGAACCTTAAACACATAGAAGCCCAAACCCATTGCCGTCAAGTCGATTTTGACTCATAGCAAAACGCGTACAGCTATGAAACGAGTCAGTCTGAAAAGGCTACGTACTGTAGGTTCCAACCATACGACATTCTGGAAAAGGCAAAACTGTAGAGACAGTAAAACGATCAGTGGTTGCCAGGCGTTTGGGGGTAGAAGGGAGAGATGAACAGGTGGAGCACTGGGCATTTTTGTTGTTGTTAGGTGCTGTCGAGTTGGTTCTGACTCATAGCAACCCTGTGCACAACAGAACGGAACCCTGCCCGGTCCTGCACCATCCTCACAATCGCTGTTATGCTTGAGCCCATTGTTGCAGCCACTGTGTCAGTCCATCTCGTTGAGGGTCTTCCTCTTTTTTGCTGACCCTCTACTTTACCAAGCATGATGTCTTTCTCCAGGGACTAGTCCCTCTTGATAACATATCTAAAACACGTGAGACAAAGTCTCGTCATCCTTGCTTCTAAAAAGCATTCTGGCTGTACTTCTTCCAAGACAGATTTGTTTGTTCCTTTGGCAGTCCATGGTATATTCAATATTCTTCGCCAACACCACAATTCAAAGGCGTCAATTCTTTTTTGGTCTTCTTTATTCATTATTCATTCATATGAGGCAATTGAAAAAACCGCGGCTTGGGTCAGGCGCACCTTAGTCCTCAAAGTGACAGCTTTGCTTTTGAACACTTTAAAGAAGTCTTTTAGGGCAGTGAAATTATTCTGCAGGATACTGTAGTGGGGAGTGCTTGACATTATGCATTTGTCTAAACCCATAGGACTGTACAACACAAAAAGTAACCCTGATGTAAACTATGGGCCTTAAGGAGTCCCCGGATGGTGTAAATGGTTAACGTGTTCAGCTGCTAACCAAAAGATTGGTGGTTCAAATCCACCCAGAAGCGCCTCAGAAGAAAGTCCTGGTGATCATCTCTGAAAGACCACAGCCATTGAAAACTTTATGGAGCACAGTTCTACTCTGAGGTTGCAATGAGTCAGAGTCAATTTAATGGCAATTAGTTCTTTTCTTTTTTTGGTAGTCAACAATAAACTAGTTACTCTGAGTCAACTCTGACTCACAGTGACTGCATCTGTGTCAGAGAAGAATTGTGTTCCATAGGGTTTTCAGTGGCTGATTTTTCGGAAGTAGATGATCAGGTCTTTTTTTCAAGGTACCTCTGGGTGGACTCGAACCTCCAACCTTTTGGTTAGCTGCTGAGCTGTCCCACCCAGGGACTCTAGTTAATAACAATGTATCAATAATGGTTCATCAGTTGCAACAAATGTAGCACAAGGAAGCAAGATGCTAGTAGTAGGAGAAACCCGGGGAGCGGGGGCGGGAAGGAGGTATATGGGAACCTCTGTGCTTTCTGTGCATTTTTTTTTTTTTTTTTGTAAACCTAAAACTGATCTAAAAAGTAAAATCTATTTTTTTTTTTTTTTAAAAAAAGCGAGTAGCCAGTCTAATGGGCTTTTCCAGGTAGTCAGTCTGTTCCAGTGTCACCTCTGTGAGTACAAGACTTTGCCTGTGAAGGAACCTCTAAGTACATTTAATTCCAGGCAGCTAAGACAGTCTGTCAGTTGTCTGTGGAGCTGGGGAGCGGTGAGAGAGAGCAAGAAAAGAAAACATGGCTGAACAGAACATTTGGGGATTTCGTGTATTTGGAAGTGTTTATCTTGTGGTTTTCCAAAACTTTTTCTATTTAATTGCCATAAGACACTGTAATGATAGAATTTTACATTTAACCTGGGTAACTGTGAAGTTGAGGGCAATGCTAGTTCAGTGGTAGAATTCTTGCCTTCCATTTGGGAGACCCAGGTTTGAGTCCCCGGCAACGCACCACACGCGCATCCACCATTCGTCAGTAGAAGCTTGTCTGTTGCTATGATGTTGCACAGGTTTCAGCGGAGCAGCTAGCTAGTCCAGGAAAGACTAGGAAGAAAGGTCTGGTGATCTACTTCCAAAAATCAGCCACTGAAAACCCTGTGGATCACAGCGGTTGGATCCACAACCGATCATGGGGATGGCTTGGGTCCGGGTAACCTTTTATTCTGTTGTGTATAGGGTCACTGTGAGTCGTTAGCCAACTCAACGGCAAGGAACAACGACAAATGTGAATTCATCAGAGGTTCGTCAGAAAGTAAAACCTTCTGACTTGAATCTAGCTGGACTTCCTGAGGAGGTTTACTAAGAAATGTTTGAGGCTTACCAAGAAAAAAAAAGCATATATACATATTTTTTAAAAGCATACCACAGTAAAATCCAAACTAAATGAAGACCTTATTCAGTCAAACCTGGGGGTTGAGGCAGGTAGAAGGACATGTTCAATGCAGGTATAGCATCTCATGAGTAGGTCTTACACCCAGAATGTTCTCGACTTTATATTTAGCATCTTTTTATCTTTTCCCAACACTCTGACACCTGTCGTCCCTCCCAAGGTGAAGGAAGTTGCCAGGGACAGAAAACATGGCAGCCAGTGGGAAGACGAGTAAGTCTACACAAAACCATGTCATCTTCAAGAAGGTCTCTCGGGACAAGTCGGTAAGTGGCACAAGAGTGAGTGGCTTAATGGCAGAGTGTGGGAAAGACAACGGATATTCTCCTCTATTGTTTCCTCGGCCGCCATAACAAAGTACCACGAACTGGATGGCTTAAAACAATAGAAGTTTATTCTCTCACAGTTCTGAGGCTGAAAGTCAGAAATCAAGGTGTCAGCAGGCCATACTGTCTCCGAAGGCTCTAGCGGAGGATCCTTCCTTCCCTCTTCCAGCTTCTGGTGGCTCCAGGTGCTCCTTGGCTTGTAGGAGCATCGCTCCAATCTCAGCCTCTATCTTCACACGGCTGTCTTCCTTCTGCGTCTGTCTTTCTTATAAAGATACCCGTCATGTTGGAGAGGGCCCACCCTACTCCAGAATGACATCATGTTAACCAATGATATCTGCAAAGATGCTATTTCCAAATAAGTTCACATCCACAGGTTTTAGGGGATTAAGACTTGAACATATTATTTTGGGGGACACGATTCAACCCATAACACTTGCTCTTCCAGTTGCAGCAGCAGAGGTGCCCTTGCTCCCATCCGGGATTCACCACTCTACTTCCTCCTGGACCTCACGGTTTACCGCCTCCTCTGGTCCTCAGCCATCAGTCCTTCCCTATACAGGCTGCACCTTCACCCTCTCCCTCTCTACCAATACTTTCCCTGAGCATAAAAACAACTGCCAGCCTCATGCGTCTTGAAAAAGACAACAGCAAAAACGTCCCTTATGAGAAACTATTTGTTCTGTAAACCTTCACCTAAAGTACAATACAAAAAAAAGAGAAAAAAAAAAAAAAAAACTTCCCTTAATCCTGTCCCATTTCTAGCAACCTCCTTATCTTTCTCCATCGTTCACAGCCAAACCTTCTTGAAAAAGAAGAAAACACCCCTCCTGCTCACTCTTCAATCCTGCCTCTCCAACCCAACTGCCTAACTGGCTTCTCCTAGCCCATCCATTCTCCACGTTGCTGCTGATGTGTTCAGAGTCTCAGTTTTCTCTTCTGTAAAATGGGGTTAATCCCTATCCCATGGAGTTGGAGTTGTTGTGAGGATTAAATGGAATAATGCAGTCCCAGTGCTTAGCTTGGCCCCAGCACATGAGCAGTGCTCCAAATGCTATGTAATTGCAGGTCTTTCCCTCTGTTTACAATCCTTCAACATCTGCTGAGATCTTTAAGGTCAGGTCCTACAAGACATCTTCTGACATCAGCCTACATCTCCATTTGCTGGTCATTCACCTGCAGATGGAACCATCGACTGCCTCAGGAGCATTGTCTTGGCTCTGTGCTTTGTATACGTTGCTCCCTTTTTTGGTTGTCCACCCCTCCACTACCATCCCCATCATCTGGCTCCTCTGTCCTTCAGCTCTCAGCCCAGGTAGGGACTCCTCTAACAGCCTTCCTCTCTCCTTCCCTCCTCACCATCCTCCCAAAGGTCTGGGTCCAGCCTACCTCTGCCCTGGGGTTTTCCCTCAATGGGCCACCACCATCAGTTCTCTTGTCTGGCTCCCAGCCAAAGAGTAAGAACTTCAAAGGCCCATGCGGTACTGTGTCTTGTTTGGTTTTTATCCCTGCGGGTTCAAACGGATAACATGCTCAGCTGCTAAGCAAAAGGTTGGAGGCTTGAGTCCACCCAGAGTCACCTCAGAAGAAGGCCTGGTGATCTTCTGAAAAAATCGGTCATTGAGAACCCTATGGTACACAGTTCTACTGTGACATACATGGGGTCACCATGAGTTGGGGTTGACTCAACGGCAACTGGTATGGCCCACTGGTACCCAGCATTAACACTTGCTTTTTCGCACTTCCCAGCCGTCCTCAGAGAATGGATGCAGGTTTACCTGCACGGAAGTGCACGTGGTGGGATTTCAGGGTCTCCTCCCGAACTCATGCCTGTTTGCTCAGACCAGTATTCTTTTAACAACGAGGGAAAACCTTTCATTCCACAGCCAGAGAGAAAAGGCTTAACATGCAAATGGCTGGTAGGAGCCTCATTTTCATAGGTATAACTTTCCAATAATGTATTATCAGTTAATTCAACAAATATACCTGGTTGATATCAGACCTGGGCTCCATGGGAAAGGGTGGGGAGGACAGGAAGCTCCTGACCATCCCAAAGGGAGGGAAGAATTCCTTGGGGGCAGAAAAGAGGTAAGGGAACCAGAAAGACAGATGTATGAGGCCAAGAATGGAGCACTCCTTGTTAGACTCTACCTTCTCCCCCTACCGCTGCAGAGCCGGGTGGCTCCTCTGCTCAGGACTAACCAAGATATTTGGGTTGTTTCTGATTTTTAACATGAACAGTTTAGCTTAGAGTTCTTGGATCACCTGGAATCCACACCTGTTCTCTTTACAGGTGACAATCTACCTGGGGAAGAGAGACTACGTAGACCATGTCAACCAAGTAGAACCTGTGGGTAAGTTGAGTATGGAGTGAAACGTTAATGCCGATTTGTTGTTGTTTTAATTCATTAGACAACTGTCTGTTAGTTTTGTATTTTCAAAAACTGGCCTCACGAGTAATCTAATCCAAGAAACGCAAATTAGAATATCAGTGGGATGCCACTGGCTGATTTAAAATCATTTTAAACAGCATGGGGGAGACAAGGGATTAGTATCTAGGTGTATAAAGAATTCTCAAAACTCAACAGTAAAATAAAACCCACAATCCGGTGAGAAAATGAGCAAGAGACGTGAAGAGACATTTCATCGAAGAGGATATACAGATGGCAAATAAGCGCAAGAAGAGACGCTCCACGTCATTAGACATCAGGAAAATACAAATTAAAACCACCATGAGGTATCATGACACACGTTATCAGGATGGCTAAAATTTTAAAAAAGTGACAATACTAAATACTGGATCACTCATACATTGCTGGTGCAAATGTAAAATGGTAAATCCACTCTGGAAAATAATTCGGCAATTTCTTAAAAAATTAAACGTACAACTACCACACAGCCCAGCAGTTGCACTCCTGGGCATTTACGTTCAGACACAAAAATTTTTCCACAATTGTTTATAGCAGCTTTATTTATAACAGCCCCAAACTGAAAACAACCAACATGTCCCTCAAAGGGTGAAAGGTTAAACAAACAGTGGTCATCCACGCCATGGAATTGGTCGTTGTGGTTAGCTGCTGTCGAGTAGACCCCTGACTCACGGTGACCCCTGCACAATAAACAAAGTGCTACCCAGCCCTGAGCCATCCGCATGATCGGTGGCAGATAAGACCATTGTGATCCACAGAGTTTTCATTGGCTGATTTTCAGAAGAAGATAGCCAGTCCTTTCGTCCTCATCTTAGTCTGGAAGTTTTGCTGAAGCCAGTTCAGCATCATAGCAACACACAAATGTTCACTGACAGATGGGTGGTGGTTGCACATGGGATGCATTGGTTGGGAATCAAACCTGGGTCTCCTATACAGAAGGTGAGAATTCTACCATTGAACCACCAGTATCTCATGTTATCACGGATACTACTCAGCTCTTGATACACACAAAAATTTATGGATCTCAAGGACTTTATACTGAGTTGTTGTTGTTGTTAGGTGCCGTCGAGTGGGTTCCAACTCATAGTGACCCTTGTACAACAGAACGAAACACTGCCCAGTCCTGTGCCATTCTCACAATCATTGCTATACTCGAGCCCTTTTTTGCAGCCGCTCTGTCCCCAGTCGTATTTTAATTACCTTCCAACCTGAGGGGCTCATCTCCTGGTGCTATATCAGACAATGTTCCGCTGCTATTGATAAGGTTTTCACTGGCTAACTCTTTTCAGAACTAAACTGCCAGGTCCTTCTTCCTAGTCTGTCTTAATCTGGAAGCTCAGCTGAAACCTATCCGCCATGGGTAACGCTGCTGGTATTTGAATACCGGTGTCATAGCTTCCAGCATCACAGCAACACATAAGCCCCCACAGAACGACAAACTGGCAGACGCGTGGGGGTTGTGCTGAGTCGTAAAAGCCAGTCTGAAAAGGTCACATACTGGATGATTCCATTTATATAGCGTTCTCAAGGGGACAAAATTACAGAGGTGGAAAACATATTAGTGGTTGCCGGGTGCTAGGGACAGTGGGGAGGAGGGATGGGGGTGTGACCATAAAGGGGTGGCCCAAGGGAGAGCTTGGGGGCGATGGACTAATTCTGTGTCGTGATTGCGCTGGTGGTTACAAAGTCTACACAGTCATAAAATTACTTAGAGTTAATTACACTTTGTACCAATGTCAGCTTCCTGGTTTGGATATTGTACTACAATTATGTAAAATGTTACCGTCAAAAGAAACTGGGTGAAGGCCACATGGCACCTCTCTGTACTATATTTACAGCTTCTTGTGACTCTGTAACTATTTCAATATAATAAGTTAAACAATACAAGAGTGTAGGAAGCCTGGCAATCTTGGGCACCGAGGATGAATGTTGTCCCTTCGCAAAGCCCTTTCTAGAAGGTCATTTGGCAGCACGTTATCAAAGGCCAAATCCAATTCTATATTTTCTAAAACTCATGGATCAGTATTGCTTGATAGGTACTGAGTTTCTGTTTGGGGTAATGAAAAGGTTTCGGATAGACAGCGGTGATGGTTGCATGTGGTGTGAATGTAATGTCACTGAATTGTACACGTAATAATGGTTGAAATGGCCAATTTTATGTTATATATATTTTGCCACAATAAAATAAAAGAAAATAATGGATAGATGTAAAGCTCTATCTACAAAGATGTTCACTGAATGTTAATTATAATGGGAAAAAAATTGGAAACAACCTAAGTACCCTAACAACGAGAGATTGATTAAATAATTTATGTTACATCCATGCAATGGAATAATATGTAGCCATTAAAATGATTAGTATATATTATTATTATATATACACATGCATATGTGTGTGTGTAGGTATACACGTGTGTGTGTGCATATACACCTTTGCAACATATACCAAAAAAAAAAAACCACTGCGTGGATTCTGACTCATAGTGACCCTATAGGACAGAGTAGAACTGCGCCATAGAGTTTCCCAGGAGCAGCTGGTGGATTCAGACTGCCGACCTTTTGGTTACCAGCCAAGCTCTTAACCACTGTGCCACCAGGGCTCCACTTTAGTCAACTCTGGCTCATGGAAACCCCGTGTGCGTTAGACTAGAACTAGGCTCCATAGGGGATTTTTTTTTTTCTGTTTCTGCATCGATCTGCTTTTTTTAAAAAAATATTTTATTGTGTTTTAGGTGAAAGTTTACATAGCAAATTAGGTTCCCATTTAACAATTTTTATACAACTTGTTCCATGACACTGGTTACGTTCTTCACATGTGTCAACATTCTCATTATTTCCATTCTTTTTGTTCTGTTTCTGTTAATCCAGCTTCCCTGCCCTCCTTAGCGTCTCATCTTTGTTTTAGGGTAAATGTTGACTATTTGGTCTCTTGTGGCTGATTAATTTAAGGGGGCACAGTATTCACAGGTGATGGTGGTTATTTTATAAGCCAGTCTATTATTTGGCTGAAAAGTGACCTCCGAGAGCGGCTTCAGTTCCAAGTTCAAAGGGTATCTTAGGGCAATAGTCTAGGGTTTCCTCTAGTCTCTATCGGTCCAGTAAGTCTCGTCTTTTTTAGGAATTTGAGTTTTATTCCACATTTTTTTCACATTCTAACGGGGGGACCTTGTTCTACGTTTTTCTCCCATTCTAACCGGGACCTCCTACTGTGTCCCTGGTCAGAATGGTTGGCAGTGGTAGCCGAGCACCGTGGAGTTCTGGTCTCAGGCTAGAAGAGGCTGAGGTTCTCTCAGACCATTAGTCCTGAGGACTAATATCTTCCTTGAGTATTTGGTTGCCTTCACTCTCCTTTGCTACCAACGGGAAGAGACCCGTAGTTGTATCTTAGATGGCTGCTCCCAAGCTTTTAAGACCCCAGACGCTACTCACCAATCTAGAGTGAACTATGTTATGCCAGTTGACCCAGATGTCCTTCAAGACTGTGGTCCTGTGCCTTCAAACCCAATTACTCAGTCCCATGAGACGACTGGATATGTCTAGGACGTTTCCTTAACTCTGCCTGCTATGTGCTCTATTATAAATATACATGCAGCACACATAACCATGTATATACATGTGCCTGCAGGTTCGCCTGTACATGCATAATCCTATATTTACATGTGTCTTCCTATACTTGTATATGCATACATGTCTACCTTTGTAACCGCACATATATTTTATTGGTTGTTATTTTAGTTGCGAATGTGTTTGTTATAGTATTCACCAAAATTGTTGCTTACTCTTATGTACTTCTTAGTGTCTTCATTTACCTTGGACAACTTGTGCAGACTTCACCCACATTGGGTATCGTCTTTCCCATCACCAAAAATAACCAGTGTCCACTATCCAGAGAGGAATTTCCCCTTCCCCTCCCCCCTAGTTCTGGTAACCATCAAAGAATGATGCTTTCTGTGTGTATACCTATTCCTGATTTTTTATAAAAGTGGTGCCATACAATATTTGTCCTTTTGTGATCCACAGGGTTTTCAGTGGCTGATTTTTCAGAAGTAGATTGCCAGGCCTTTCATCTAAGGTGCCTCTGGGTGGACTAGAGCCTCCAACCTTTCAGTTAGCAGCCAAGCGCATTAGGCGTTTGCACTACCCAGAGACACCTGGCAAAGTATAGTTGAGTGACAAAAGCAGTTAACTGAACAGCGTGTATAGTAGATGCTCATTTTTTTTTTTTGGTATGAAACATTTATATAATTAAGTGTATATACACCTGGGAAAAAATTCTGCTCTAGTATCTTGACAATGGCTATCTTTAGGTATTGGATTTGGGTGACTTTGTTTTCTCTTTGCTTAACTTGAATTTCTAATTGTCCTATAATGAAGTGGATTACATGTGCAATTAAAAATATATATAGTGTCTTCAGGAGGCACCTGGTTTCTTTGATCTGCTCCCCACTCATCATTCTCTCCCCCTTCTGGTTTTAGATGGAGTTGTGTTGATTGATCCTGAGCTCGTCAAGGGGAAGAAAGGTGAGGCAGAGATTCGTGTACTGGTGAAGTAAACTCTAGTCCACTGCTGGTCCTGGACCCAGGCTTCGGAAGCAGAAGCGCCTGGTCCAGAGGGAAGGGAGGGCAGCCAGCGTCTTGTTGCCCGTTCACCCACATTCCCTTGGATAAGCCTCACCACACGGTCCTGTTCATGCCAGAGCTCACTGTCCCGTTTGTACAGCAAGTGAAGACTCAGAGAAGTGTTTGTCCAAAGTGGCAGGATAAGTAATGAGGGGATGGGGACTGTATCCTCGCCTCTATATTATGCAGTCCCCCACTGAGGGGCAAATCCAGAAGGAGGTCTCCTGTGGGGGTCTTACCCTAAAAGGGGGAAATCGAGCCTGCAGGAGGCAGGGGAAGTAAAAACCAGAATGTATTTTTATGCTTACTGCAGTGGTTCTGAACCACAGCATGCCAACGCCCTAGAAGACTGCCGGCAGTTGCAATGTGTATGGCAAGCAGTTCTTCACTAATAACAGTTACGTAAACAAAACCAGAGCCAAATCAAGTTGTCCTGATGAGAATTTCACCGTGACTCAGACCAATGCTTAAGATGCTTTTTTGAGTGGTTGCTACCGACAACCATAAAGAATTGTTCACAACCCTGAATACGCCCAAGGGGGAATGTCAGGTGTGGGCAACAGCTCCAAGGGGTTCAGGGCAGAAGTAGGGCCAAAATCGCCCCCTCTGTGGTCTCTCACTGAGTAACTGCTGCTCCATAGCATGGAGGAGAGGCTGATTTGAGCCCTGAAATCTCTGTCCTGGGCTAGAGAAGTCACCTTCTCCTAAGAGCGCCACTCCTGGTGAGGACAAGCATAAAACCAGGTCCCTGGGGCACCTCCCTCTTTCTAACATCAGTGAAGATGGGGGCAAGTGACCGCAGCTTCTTCTGAGCTCAGGGGTGTGGGGCAGATACAGATATGAAGTCCTCAACCAAGAGTACCAAGTACTTGGAGGGGCCACTTCCAACATGCATCCATGAATAACGTGCTTCATGTCGTTACATTTACGACATTGAAGATAAACCAAAGCACACCAGTTGCTGGCTCCAATTCATGGTGACCCCATGTGTGTCAGAGTAGAACTGTGCTCCATAGGGTTCTCCATGGCTGATTTTTTGGAAGCAGATTGCCAGGACTTTCTTCTGAGGCACCTCTGGGTGGACTCGAACCTCCAACCTTCCGGTTAGCGGATGAGCACGTCAATTATTTACGCCACCCAGGGACTCCAACATTAAAGGTAGTTACTTATAAACAGTCCATCACCCAAACACGCATCCCGAACTTTCCTATGATTCTTTTGGTTCACTTAGGGCACAATTTAAGTCTGTTGATTTGAATTGAATTTTCAGAAGTGGTGAGTTAGAGAATGTCTAATATGTTTCAGAGCAATGTGAAAAGAGGGACGTAACTCCAACCTTCCCTGATTTGATTTCATCTCTTCCCTATGGTCCATAACTCCCAGTACTCATTGCTGTTAAGTCAGTTCTGACTCATGGCAACCCCATGTGTGTCAGAGTAGAACTGTGCTCCATAGGGTTTTCAATAGCTCGTTTTTTGGAAGTAGGTTGCCAGGTCTTTCCTCTGAGGCTCCTCTGGGTGGACTCAAACCACCAGCCTTTGGGTTAGTAGCCAAGTGCCTTAACCATTTGTACTATGCAGGGACTCCAACCCCATCCTAGCTCCACTCTTAGCCTGAAGTCCAGCTCTCACCTAGATCTATTTTGCCTCCAAGCAGTGTTCCCCTCTGTTCCTCACCTTCACCCTCAACTCCATCCAGAAAGCCTCTCTCCAGAACCCAGCACTGTTTCAAAGCCTCCTTGAAATCCCTGAGCTGGTAGGCCAAGAGAATGGAGGGTAAGATGGAGGAAACAGTGCAACAAGGGGTGGGTACCATGTTCTCTGTCCACAGATACCCCACCACCCTCACCAAATAATGTGGTTAGAAGGAAGATGCGTCCCAATCCTCTGATGCTCCCCTTTAAAGGAATTAACACAAACCCTAGGGAAAGTGCCAATTTCCAAAAACGTGTAGCCCAGCTGGGTAGTATGGTTCTCTCAAATCCCATCTCTTCTAGATGCTGAAGGTTGGAAGCCCCTGAGTGAGGGTGTGAGCGGGTTACCCTTCTGCACACTCAGTCTAGTGGCAACGGGTGCCATGACGACGAACGGGGAGGGGAGTCTGACGTTTCAAGGCCCAACCTTCTCTTATCTTCTTCCCAGTTTATGTCTCTCTGACTTGCGCCTTCCGCTATGGCCAGGAAGACATCGACGTGATTGGCCTGAGCTTCCGCAGGGACCTGTATTTCTCTCGGGTCCAGGTGTACCCTCCTGTGGGGGCTGCGAATGCCCCCACAAAACTGCAGGAGAGTCTGGTCAAGAAGCTGGGGGCCAACACCTACCCCTTTCTGCTCACGGTGAGCATGCATTCCTCTCCCCTGCCCCTCCACCTCTCCAGCCCTCCTACCCCAGCCCACAATCCCTTATGATGTGAATGAGAGCAGAGGAAAGGGGACGGAGTAATCACTTCACGTTTGTGGGCCTTTAAATTGCACCCTTGAAGGAAATTCTAGATTGCACAGTCTATGATTGTCTGTTTTTAAGTCCTTGAAAATAGCCTCTCAGTCTTTGAAGGAACCATTTCAACCAACTGTTTAAATATTTCCTTCATCTGATCACCAAATTATATGTGCATGTGTCATTCCTTTGCTTACTCAGCTATAAAAAGAAAGCACACAGGCATACCCCTCGGAAGCTCTGAGGAGCTCTGAACAGGAAAGGTGCCCTGTGGGACAGGAAATCTGGGAGAAACAAGATGGCTGTCAACACTCAGAGGATCAGGGTGGATAAATCACTTCATCTCTCTTGAGGTCCGCGTCTCCTCAGGTGAAACCTGGCTACCAATGGTGCCAGAACGCATGCTCTCTGAAGTCTTACGCATGAACTCGATATGGGGAAAGCTCTGCTACCCTCTTTACTAGGATATTTGTTTGTCTCAAAATTATATACTCTTCAAAAGTTATATGGAGTTCCTGGGTGGTGCAAATGGCTAAGCACTGAACTACAAGCCGAGAGGTGGGTGGTTCGAACCCATCCAGAGGCGCGATCTGCTTCAACGATCAGAAGCTTGGAAACCCTACGGATCACAGTTCTAACTCTGCACGCATGGAATCACCATGAATCGGAATCGACTCAACAGCAACTAACAACAACAAAGTTTCATGGTCCTGAAGATTAATTTTCCAAAAAGAATTAATTAGAAAAGGGAGCTTCTCAATGGTCGATAGGGACATGGAAGATACGTTACTTCAATGTATAGTGCACGAGACCAGGCAATGTTTCGTTCTGTTACACATAAGGTTGCCATGAGTCGGCGCCAACTCAACATCAACTAACAACTTGTATAGTTACACTAAAGGCTGTGTTATTCTACTGAAAGGGAAAATACAAATAATCTTGAAAGGAAAGAAAAAAAAAAGTTGTCCAGCCCTGGGCTCCCCCCTGTGCTGGTACTGGGAATGTAAACTGATGTGGACTTGAGACAACATGGCAGTACATACCAGAAATCTTAGGATACGCTTTTGACTTGGCAATTCCATCTCCAGGAATTTATCTTCCGGAATTAATTGGACAAAAGGGTACAGAAGTGTATGAAGAAAGATATCCACTGCAGCATTGTCTAAAATGGCAAAAAAAGTACAAACTACCTAAGCAGCCAACACAGAGGACTGGTTAAATTGAAGGTGGTGTTCTGGAAGTCCAAAAAGGGATGGTGCAGGACTCTATTTCATGACGTGGAAAAATGCTCAGAATGCATGCTGAAGAGGGCCACCAAAACCAAACCAAACCTGCTGCCGTCGAGTCAATCCTGACTCATGGTGACCCTATAGGACAGAGTAGAGCTGCCCCATAGGGTTTCCAAGGCTGTAATCTTTACAGAAGCAGACTGCCACGTCTTTCTTGCATGGAGTGGCTGGTGGGTTTGAAACCACCGACCTTTTGGTTAGCAGCCAAGCATTTAACCACTGTGCCACCAGGGCTCCTCTGAAGAGAGTCAAACCAAACAACCAAACCAAAATCATTGCCATCGAGTCAATTCCAACTTATAGCAACCCTATAGGACAGAGTAGAACTGCCCCATAGGGTTTCCAAGGAGTGGCTGGTGGATTCGAACCTCTGACCTTTCGGTTAGCAGCCAAATGCTTAACCACTGTGACACCAGGGTCCCCTGAAGAGAGTTAAGGTTGGTGAAATGATTAAACCAGCACAGGGTCATCATGGGATTCCTTTTCTAGAACACATACACACACATATACACATATTTGTGTGTATATGTGCACGTGGGAAAATTTTGGAAGGTTATGTTAACAACATGACTCTGGGTGTTGGGTGGATGTCTTTCTTTGGCTTGTTCATCATCTACGTTTTCCAATTTTTGTGCATTTCTGAAAGAAATGGTTTTCTTGTTTCTTCCCACAGTTTCCTGACTATCTGCCCTGCTCAGTGATGTTGCAGCCAGCTCCACAAGATGTGGGAAAGGTTAGTTAAAGGTGAAGTGCAATGGATTCCTTCCTCCCGCCCTCCCTCTGTCTCTTCCTTCCTTCCTTCAATAAACTTTTAAAAATAACTTTTCATCAAAGAAAATTTCACACATACACAGCAGGAGAGAGACCAGTTATGATGAACCATCGGGAGTCTATCCCTTGTCTTTATAATTCTTAGCCGCGACCAGCCTTGTGAACAAAACACTAGGCTCCCCACCCTCGTGGATCTCACAAGTTAATGTAGAGCAACAGATAAAAACAAACAAACAAGGAACGTAGCACGGCAGATGCCGATGGGTGCTCTAGGGAACAAAGGCTTGTGAGCGGACGGTGGTAGTTGGTGGGGATGTTTGTTCAGGGTGTTCCAGGAAGGTGTCTCACAGGAAGAGAGGGGAAGGCCAGGCTCCTCCTGGGAAGAGCCTCCTGGGCAAAGGGAACGCTGATGCTATGCTTGGCCTGTTCCGGGGCAGCAGGGAGGCCGGTGTGTTGAGTGGGGAGAAACGAGGGCCAAATGGTAGAAGCTGAGGTCCGAGTGGTCTGGGGAAGGTCAGCCAGGAGCACCTAGTAGACTATTGTAGGGACTTGGTTTTTTTTCTGAGCCAGAAGCCATTGGTGGGTTCTGAGCAAAGAAGTGACAGGTTTTCAAAGGACCATGATGGAGTTTGTCAAATGGAGACAAAGGGGACAAGTGTTTCAGGTAGAAGGAACAGTATGTGCCCAGGGTAGAATGGTGAAGCGCATGGCACGTTCAGGGAGCAGGTTTGCCCAGAACATACTAGAATATACTGGAGCATAAGGCGGTGGAGGAGGGTGGAAATGAGGAGCTTTGCTGAACAATGCCAGTGTGACGGTAGGTAATGATGTATATATAAATTTCCATCTAAACTTTAGAATTTCGACGGTTCCATGGCGGCAGAACACACAGACGTGTTGCTTCTCTGCCAGCGTTGACACGGATGATTTCACGGACTTTCGCCAATTACACTTTCTCCCTCTAGTCGGTCGGTGCCCTGCCTCCTGTGCTCCCTGCGTGAGCGTTAGCGGGGAGACACCGGGGAGGTGCTGGAAGGCGTGGTACTCAAGGCTGAGGGATGCATGCCCAGGGGCTGAGGGCTGGAGACAGGGCCCACAGTAGCCTTTGTTGGGCACATGCCATGTTTAAATTGTTTTTTGTTTAGTTTATTTAAAAATCAGGATATTTCACCCCAAGTCCTACTTCTAGCTTCTTTTTAAAAATGAAGGAGCCCTCAGCACTGGGTTCCCCCCCTTAGCATCCCATGCTTGCTGCAGCTGCACAGCGGCTGCCCATGAGGCTTAGGGCATTGGTGCCCCAGCATGGAGCCCTCATGGATGCCTGTCCACCCCTCCCCACTGCCAGCCCTGAGAGGGTCTCTCGCCCCTGCAGTGGGCGGTGAGAAGTCAGTGATGTCCACAAGGGTTGTGTTCAAGGACAGCTAAGTGTGGTTGTTGAGGGGGCCGGATGCTGGGGGAGATGGAGGGAGGAGAGGACCAGCAGAGAGTCATGCTCTGTGGGTCCTGCAGGCTGAGTCCCCTTCTCCTTGGGCTTTGGACCTAGGCCCTCTCCTCATGCTAACGTCATCATTTCATTATTAGTCCACTTCAGAATCTTGTTTCAGTGGTTCAACCCTAAAGAGGATATGGTTAAAACAAAGAAAGATGGTGTCACCTAACACCCCCACCCCTGAGGTTTGAACCTCTGTCCCGTTCCCTCAAGCCTCTGCCGAGAAGGGAACCACTGACTGCTGCCCTGTCTGTTCTCTTGCCCCCGACAGTCCTGTGGGGTCGACTTTGAGGTCAAAGCATTCACCACAGACAGCACAGATGGTGAAGAGGACAAAATTCTCAAAAAGTAAGAGCTGGTTGTGGGCATAGGTGTGGGGGCCAGGGGGCAAGGAGGTGGGATGAGAAACCGCCCCTCGCTTTACCTCAGTGTGATAGGACTCTTCTTATGGGGTCAATGTGGCCTGACGTGGCCGAGCAATTAAGGACGGAACCTTCTACAAATGGAATGTGGTCAAGTGGCTGATCATTTGGGGAGGAAAAAAAAAAAAGGAAAAGAAAATGTTAGTGAGGAGTTAGTACCTTAGGTCTCCTGTCAGCCCCTACCAACTCTTAGATTCCCTCTTTCTTCAGTTTTCTCCTTGCACCCAAACAAGATTTCCAACTGTGCCCTCAGCATCTTCTCCTCACACACCTTCTCCTCAGGCACATATGTCAATGATAATTAATGATAGTAAGTGTGTCACATTTACACAGGGCTTTGAAGTATGTTCAAGAAGCCCTGGTGGCACAGTGGTTAAGCATGTGGCTGCTAACTGAAAGGTCTGTGGTTCTAACCCACCAGCTGCTCCATGGGAGAAAAGACCTGGCGATCTGCTCCCGTAAAGATTCCAGCCTAGGAAACCCTATGGGGCAGTTCTACTCCATCTTATAGGGTCGCTATGAGTTGGAATTGTCTCAATGGCAATGGGTTTAAAGCATGTTCAAGTAAGATAGACGGCTCGTTCACACATCACCTGCACATTGAGATGAGGCAGAACTGGATCCTGACAGGATAAAACGGGCAGTCGTGGGAGTTACAGCCCGTGAAACCACAGTGGAAGGACCCAGAACCAGGTCCTCCAGGTTCCTCTGCCTGCAGAACTGCCTCAGACTCAGACCATTGTCCAAACGCTCTCTTAGTTCACCCAGTCTCCATTGGGAACCTGCAGGAAGAACACCAGCATGAATATGGGGAGAGAGATGGGGAAGGCCCTCCTGAGGCGGCCAGGTGCTAATCCCAGGACATGTCTGTGACTTTCTGTCCACAGGAGCTCTGTGCGTCTGCTGATCCGTAAAGTACAGCATGCTCCGTCGGAGATGGGCCCTCAGCCCCGAGCTGAGTCAGCCTGGCAGTTCTTCATGTCGAACAAGCCCCTGCACCTAGCAGTCTCCCTCAGCAAAGAGGTAACCTTGGGCCAGAGGAGGGGGCCCACGCGTCACTGTCATACCCGTGTGGGGTCAAGCCTGGGGGACAGGCCTTGGTGCCGTTTCTCTTCACCAGCCTCTGCTAGTTGCAAGTAATCTTGTTTCTAGGGTTAGTTAAAGTCCCCAAATTGGTGAACAATGGGCTTCTCTTCCTAATTTGCAGCTGGTCCATGTGATCCTTACAATAGTGTCAACCTCACTTGTGTCCCACTCATTGGCAGTCTGATTGCATAGGGGAGAGAAAGGGTGGCATTGGCACATAACTCCCCCTGCATATCCCACCATCTTTGCCCATTCTCCAACCTGGGGGACTTGTTTGCTAATGTAACATCAGTAAAACCAGTTGCTGTCAAGCCAACTCCAACTCCTGGTGACCCCATGTGTGTCAGAGTAGAATGGTGTTTCATAGGGTTTTCAATGGCTGATTTAGCAGAAGTAGATCACCAGACCTTTCTTCCAAGGTTCCTCTGGGTGGACTTGAACTTCCAACGTTTCAGTTAGCAGCTGAGCACGTTAACAATTTGTACCACCCAAGGACTTTGTAGCATCAATGCTTTTGTTGGTTCCGACTCATAGCAACCCTATGTCCAACAGAATGAAATGCTGCTGAACCATCCTCACAACAGTTGTTACGTTTGAGCCCATTTTTGCAGCCACTGAGTCAATCCATCTCGTTGAGGGTCTTCCTCTTTTTTGCTGACCCTCTACATTACCAAGCATGGTGTCCTTCTCCAGGAACTGGCCCCTCCTGATAACATGTCCAAAGTACGTGAGACGAAGTCTCGCCATCCTCACTTCCAAGGAGCACTCTAGCTGTACTTCTTTCAAGACAGACTTGTTCGTTCTTCTGGCAGTCCATGGGATATTCAATATTCTTCGCCAACACCATAATCAGTTCTTATTTGGTCTTCCTTATTCATTACTCTTGTTCATTGTTCAGCTTTCACATGCATATGAGGCAATTGAAAATACCATGGCCTGGGTTAGGTGCACCTTAGTTGTCAAGGTGACATCTTTGCTTTTTTTGCAGCAGATTTGCCCAATGCAGTATATCGTTTGATATCTTGACTGCTATTTCCATGGGCGTTGATTGTGGATCCAAGTAAGATGAAATCCTTGACAATTTCAACCTTTTCTCCATTTATCATGATGTTGCTTATTGGTCTAGTTGTGAGGATTTTTGTTTTCTTTATGTTGAGGTGTAATCCATAGTGAAGGCTGTGGTCTTGGATCTTTATCAATAAGTGCTTCCTCTTCGCTTTCAGCGAGCAAGGTTGTGTCATCTGCATATCACAGGGTGTTAATGAGTCTTCCTCCAATCCTGAGGCCCTGCTCTTCATATAGTCCAGCTTCTCAGATTATCTGCTCAGCATAGATTGTATAAGCATGGTGAAAGGATAAAACCCTGACGCATACCATTTCTGATCAATATGTGTGGTTATTACAAATTGCTTACTTTCCTGAGAATTTCATGTCTCACAGAAGCCACACGGGGTGGAGCGGCACATGTGAATGTTGTCTATGTTATGAGTCGTGGTAAAATGGGGAAGAACCACTGGCTGAGGCTGTCTCTCTGGCTACCAACAGTCGAACACACACATGTTGGTCAGAACTCAACATGCTGTATAAGTGTGTGTGTGTGTGTGTGCGCGCGCGCGCATACATTTACAAGGGTGTGCCCGCTGGGTCTAGAGTACACTGCTGAGGAGAACTCTGTCACCAGGCTTTCCCAGTGGCCTCCTTTCATTTCACTTATTCTGCCTCCAATAACCTTACGATTCTACTCAAGACCCCCCGGCTTACCCTGACATGACTCTCTCAGAACTCAGCGTTCCAGGCAGAGAACACCCTTATCCTTGTCAGCATCCCACTGACTTTTACTGGGCGGAGCATGTTCCAGATCCTTCTCTAAAGGAAACACATTACTATCACTTTATCTTTCATATCAGTATGGGAATTCAGTCACTTTTATGCTAGGTAAAGGCATTAAGATGAAGAATTTAGAAAGCCATGAGGTTAAAGATACCACCACACTCTTTTCTTCCCTTTTGACTGATCTGCTAACCTTTCAGGTCTATTTCCATGGGGAACCCATTCCTGTGACGGTGACTGTGACCAACAACACAGAGAAAACAGTGAGGAAGATTAAAGCATCAGGTAAGACCTTCCTCTCAAAAGCAGAGGGCAGAGTCGTCTAGCTTCTCTCAGTCTGGTCATATTTCCTAAGGGTCACTCCTCTGGTCAGCTAAGGCCCTTCTGGGCCCTTGGATTGCCCCTTTGTCTCAGCTGTCATAGACAGCAAGATCTGAGGTGGAGGAAAGGCCTTATTAATGTCATCTCACTCAACCTCCTGCCCAGTTTATCACCAGTTTACCAGTTGCCGTGGAATTGACTCAAACTCGTGGTGACACCGTGCATGTCCGAATAAAACTGTGGTCCATAGGGTTTTTAAGGGCTGGTTTTTTAGAAGTAGATCACCAGGCCTGTCTTCCAAGGTGCCTCTGGGTGGACTCGAATCTTCAACCTCTGGGTTAGCAGCTGAACATGTTAACCGTTTACACCAAGCTGGGCCTACCCAGCTTAGGACTGACTTCTGTCTTAGGACAACATCCCTGCCAGGTGGTCTTCCTGTCTCCCCACGGTCATGCCTTCCTGGAGGGGCCTCACCCTGCCAGATCACAGGGGAAGCCACAGGGGACTTTTCCTTCTGCGATCAGTGATTGATTTTGTTTGCCAATGCAGCATTGTATAGCGGGGAAAGCACTGGATTCAAAACCCCTGGGCTGAATTGTGGGCTTGGCAGTGTAAGTCCTAATTCCCACCCCTAGGAGAGGGTCCTTGTCTGCCTTCCCAGGTTTCGTAAGCCTTTACATGAATGTGCTTTGTGCAAGGTAAAATGCTCATGTAGGACTTTGAGTCATCATAAGGCGATGGCCAAGCCTCAGTGGTAGCACTGCAGGAAAGGTGCCTCCTGCTGGCTGTTCCTACACATTTCCTCAGCTTGAAGGGCATCTAAGTGCCGTTGTTGTTCCTGGGTGCCCTCGAGTTGATTCCGACTCATAGCGACCCCGTGTGACAAAGTAGAACTGCCCCGTAGGGTTTCCTAGGCTGTAATCTTCCCGGAAGCAGATTGCCACATCTTTCTCCCGAGGAGCCAACCACTGAGCTTTCAGTTAAGCAGCTAAGTGCTTAACCACTGCACCACCAGGGCTGGTAGGGCATCAAAGTGCTGGGGGTAGTCTTATATGAAGCGATTTTTAGAACTGATTGAACAGAAACCAAAGAATGGGCTGCATAAAAAGACGCAACGGGATGACCTGGGAGGGTGACCTCTAGGTTCACTTCTAACTCAAACGTTTAATGGCCAAGACAATGTCATAGTGTCTTAGGGCGCCAGCTGTCCCTGTTTGCCCAGGACAGAGGTTTTCCAGGAAGTGGGACTTTCGGTGCTAAAATGGGGCTAGTCCCAGGTGTACCAAGACGGTTGGTCACCACAGGTAACATACACCACTGTCCTCTGTACCCGTCATAGGTGAAGTGTGGCAATTTGGATGAATGCATACCAGAAAATTCTAGATTTTTTGTTGCTAATAAAAGCCACAAAACCAAACCCGTTGCCATCAAGTTGATTCCAACTCACGGTGGCCCCGTGTGTTACAGAGTAGAACTGCTCCATAGGGTTTTCTTGGCTGTAATCTTTACAGAAGCAGATCTCCAGGCCTTTCTTCCAAAGGTTGGTTCAAACCGCCAACCTTTTAGTTACCAGCCGAACACATATCTCTTGCACCACCCAGAGACCTTACATGAATGCTTAATTTAAACATTTTGGTTTTGTTTTATGTGATTTAATTTATATGCTGATAGGCCTTTGGAGGACCTGGAGTTACCTGGCATGCTGTCTGATACAATGTTCCACAAAGTAGGGGAATTGATATGGTATCATCATGTGCTAAAATTATTTCTGAAAGTTTAATGAATCCTAACATCAAAGCCAGTAACACAGAGAAGAAGCTGTTGAATTTCTGAAACCAAGTGTTGATAGGTTTCCATAGGCCGGGCAGGGTGCTAAGTGCATTGCACTCACTGTTTCTTTTAATCCTTAAACTTGGTTTGAAAGATTTAAGGTCATCTTTTGAATCCTCTCAAAAACCCTGTACGGTTGTCGTCGTTGTTAGGTACCATCAAGTCGGTTCCAACTCAGAGCGACCCTATAGGACTGCCCCATAGGGTTTCCAAGGAGCAGCTGGCGGATTTGAACGGCTGGCCTTTTGGCTAGCAGCCGAGCTCTTAACCACTATGCCACCAGGGCTCCATAAGTTTAGTTAGATGCAATTATCACCCCCGTTTTACTGGTGGGGAAACTGAGGCTCAGAGGAGCTAAATAACTCACCCCACAGTTAACAGCTAAATTAGGGTCTCTATGAGTCGGAATTTACCCGATGGCCCACAGCACCAAGTCTGGCTCTGGATTGTCTGGTTGGCACAAACAGACCCTGAGTCACCATAATGAGAACACAAAAATCTAGAATCTTCTACTATTGATGAATCACTCAGCTGCTAACTGAAAGGTTGGAGGTTTGAATCCACCCAGAGGCACCTTGGAAGAAAGGCCTGGCAATCTACTTCTGAAAAATCAGCCATGGAAAATCCTAGGGCGCACAGTTCAATTCAGACACACATGGAGGTACCGTAAGTTGGAGTCAACTCCACGGCAACAGGTTTTACTGGTAGTCTGGCTTCAGATCCCATCTTCCTATCCACCTTGCTACACTCGGGGATCAAGCCTGTGCTGCGTCCACATGGCTTCTAGCTCGGAGAACCGGAAAGAGGCTGCTCAGTAAATAAGACAGAGGCTGTTGGAAGGAGGCGGGGCTTGCAGAAAGATCTAGGGCTGGAAGACTGTGTGCCTTGGAAGGATACCTAGGGGTGTCCCATGGGCAGTTGGAAATAGGTGAGCTCTGAGGAGAGGAGGGGGCTCTGGCTCCTGGGTGGGATTATTGGTGAACAGGAGCAGCCTGAGAACTGAACCTGGAAGTCGCCACATTTAAGCCTCAGGCTGAGAAAGACAAAGCTGGGAGGCAGACGAAAATGGTGACAGAGTCCCCTGGAGGCCCACGGCTCGTGCATGGCGTGGAGAGGCCGCAGTGACTCATCCCACCCCTTCCTCCTTTGCAGTGGAACAAGTGGCCAACGTGGTCCTCTACTCCAGCGACTATTATGTCAAGCCAGTGGCCATGGAGGAAACACAGTGAGTGGCGGGTCACACTTCTGCTTCCCGGGCTGCCCTTCCTTCTGGTCAGGTTCCTCTTTTGTCGATGGCTGATGAGGGAACTCGATTGCTCAGCTGGTTCACCAGCTCGGCACAGCCTTCCCTTTTCCCGCTTCAAGGGCTGCCAGACAAGTTAGCACCTGAACCCTGCCTCCACCTTACCCTGCCTCACCCAGCTCACAAGGGTTCTGAGAAATCAGCCCAACGGACGGAGGTGAGCGAAGTAAAGATGGAAATGTCACACGTGAGAAGAGCTGTGCCTTATTGTTCAGCCTTGGAATGTGTTGTGAGGATCTTTTTTTTTTTTTAATCATTTATTTTATTTGTTGTTGTTGAGAATATACACAGCAGAACATACAACCATTCAACAGTTTCTACGCATACAATTCAGTGCCACTGGTTACATTCATCGAGTTGTGCATCCCTTCTCATCGTCCGTCCTAGTTCTCTAGCGCTGCTAGAACAGAAATACCACAAGCGGGTGGCTTTAACAAACAGTATTTTATTTTATCATAGTTTAGAAGTCTGAATTCAGGGTGCCAGCTCTAAGGCTTTCTCTCTCTCTGTCAGCTCTGGAGGAGGGTCTTTGTCTCTTTGAGCTTGTGCTCCTGGGTGATCTTCACGTGGCTTGGCATCTCTCTTCCCCATCTCTGCTTGCTAGCTTGCTTGTTTAATCTCTTTTATATCTCAGAAGGGATTGACTTAAGACACATCTTATACTATTCCTGTCTCATTAACATAACAAAGAAAACCTATTCCCAAATGGGATTATAACCACAGGTATAAAAAAGCAAACAAACAAACCAGTTGCCATCAAGTCAACTCCGACTCATACTGACCCTATAGGGCAGAGTATAATTGCCCCACACGGTTTCCAAGGAGCAGCTGGTGGATTCGAACTGCCGACCTTTTGGTTAGCAGCCGAACTCTTAACCACTGTATCACCAGGGCTCCAACCACAGGTGTAGGGGTTAGGATTTACAACAAATATTCTGGAGGGCAAGATTCAATCCATAACACTCTCCTTTTCAGAGTTATTCCTCCCCCATTAACATAAACTCCCTGCTCCCTAAGCTTCCTATGTAACCTCTGAAGTTAAGGTTGTCAGTTTGGAGCTGTTAGGAATTTGATGCCATTTTGCCCCAGCAGATCATCAAAGTGCCTGCCAGCCCAGGCAAGGGTTGTCTGTCTCTTGGTCTTCTTATCAATGTGAAGCTCTTGTACCAATGACAACTGGATTTAGAAGGATGCGTCCGTTCTTAGCCCGTTGTCACGAATGACTTTTCCTCCTTGGATTAGAATAAAAAGCAAATGAGAATTCCATGATGGCTCCTTCGGGTCACACTGAGAGACTTGCTGGGTTATACTTTGTGTGTGCAAAATGGTCAGATGAGTTCATTGGATACACAGGCTTCTGGGGATTACGCACTCACCACCCATCCATCTCCACCTTGAGAGGAGAGCTTTGGAAACTGTTTTTGTTTTTAAACAGCTTTATTGAGATATAATTCACATATCACACAGTTCACCCATTTAAGTATGTGCAGCCATCACCACAGTCAATTTTAGAACATTTTTGTCAACTCAGAAAGAAACCCTCTACCTTTGCCCCTCTTTGCATAGCTGGCATGTTCTAAACACCGTTGTATGTAAAAAAAATTCTACATAAAGGGATTAGGATGAAGAATTTAGAAAGACTTGAGATTAAAGATACCACTTGTTTTAGTTATTTAGTGCTGCTGTAACAGAAACACCACAAGTGGGTGGCTTTTACAAAGAAATTTATTCTCTCACAGTTTAGGAGGCTAGAAGTCCGAATTCAGGGCACCGGCTTCAGGGGAAGGGAGGCTTTCTGTCTATTGGCTCTGAGGGACGCTCCTTGTCTCTTCAGCTTCTGCTTCCTGGTTCCTTGGAGATCTCCATGTTTCTCGGCATCCCTCTTCCCCCATCTCTGTTTGCTGGTTTGTTTAATCTCTTTTGTATGTCACTCCACTAATCCTATCCCATTAACATAACAAAGACAACCCATTCCTAAATGGGATTATAACCACAGGCATAGAGTTAGGATTTACAACACTTATTTAGGGGGGGGACGCAATTCAATCCATAACACCACCGGACCCTTTACTCCCTTTCTGACTTACCTGCTAACCATTTCAGATCTGTTTCCTTGGGGAACCCATTCCTGTGACCAGAATTAGGGGAAGAGGGGCATCAGGAAAGACAAACTGACTCACCAGGATAATATTATGTAACATTTAAAAGGCAACATTGGGATGAAATATTACTCAGCAGATTCAGACTTAAGTTTAAATCCAGGTCTACAGGGGAGGGAAGCCAGAAGGAAGCCAAACGTGTTGACTGGCTCCTTTGTGCCAGGCCTGGGTCTGTCCCCCTCTAGGGTGCTTCTTGCACACCTTGGTGCCTGGCGAGTCTTGGCCCTGATCCCCTTTATGCGTAGGCTCAGCAGTGACAGGCAGATGGCCCCTGGGCAAGTTTCCCCCGAATAAACCATTACCTTCGAGTTGATTCCAACTCCATAGGGTTTTCTTGGTTGTAATGTTTATGAAAGAAGTTTGCCAGGCCTTTCTTCCATGGCACCACTGTGTGGGTTCAAACTATCAACCTTTAGGTTAGTAGTTGAGTGCAAACCGTTTGCGCCACCCAGGGACCCTTTTTCCCCCTAACGTACACCCCATTATCTGGTCTTCTTTCCAGGTGCATTTTGAACCAAAGCATTTCCAGGAAGCTGCGAACCATTCTAGACTCCTCTAAGGGTTAGGGGTAGAGTGGAGGTGGCTCCGGATCAGATGAAGGGTCCCAGGCTAGAGGCCCCTCGGAAGGCCACAAAGCAGGAGCCAGGTCCTGGAACCCCATGGCTGCCCCAGGCTCTGGCAGGCACGCCTCACAGAACCAGGTCAGACCTGACTCCCGGCCACCATTGAGCCGCAGCTCCTGGAGTGCTGGGAAGCGTCAGTGCTGGCCTTCACTGTGAGCAGCTCTGCTGCAGGGAAGGCCTCATCTGAGCCCACCCTGACGGCACCTTACAAGTGCACTTTCTGCTCCATCTCCATGCTGCCCAAATCCAGCTCCCTGAGATGTCCCACCAGGACCTGGGAGAGAGGAGGCGGGCGGCCGAGGCTCAAGCAGAATCTGTGCCCACCATGCCTGGGTGCATCCTGCATACAGCAGGCGCTACTTTAAAACCCCAGGGAGAGTTCAGGTCCCAAGTAGGGCAGACTTTCCAGAAGGTGGAGTACCTGGGTGGTGCAAATGGTTAACATGCTTGGCTGCTATCCAAAAGGTTGGCTGTTTGAGTCTTCCCAGATGCCTTGGAAGAAAGGCCTGGCAATCTAGTACCAGAAAACCCTATGAAGCACAGTTCTACTCTGACACACATGGGGGCGCCATGAGTCAGGCTCCACTTCAGCAACTGGTTCCTGAGGTTAGCATTTCAGATGTCCAGCCTGCCTGGGAACAGGTGAAGGAGTGGCGCAGGTGCCGGCTCCGGGAGTCTTCAGCACCTCGTCCCCCCTTCTGGCGAAGGGCAGGACAGCAGGTACCCCAGAGAGCACTGGCCCAGGCTGCTGCAAGCTAGGCTCTGCGGGCAGAGAGACCTGGCCTGCCCTTGCGGCTGAGCGGCCCTGGGCACGAACACGTCTGTAAAGGGGGACCCGAGAGCCCTACTCGTCACGGGGTGGCGGAGAAGGAAGTCAGAGGCACACGTGTGAGTAGTCGCACCCACTCTCCAGCTCCAAACGCTGCTACTCGCCCGAGGGCTGGCTTCCAGAGTCTGGAGACACTCATGTCACCAGCTTGACCAGACCCACCCGTGGCACAGGTTCATGAATGGAGGACCCATCTCATCCTCTCTGCAGCCCGCCACCCACCTGCCACCCTGGTCGCACACTGGGGAAAGAACTTCTAGGCTGGTCTTGCTGGTACTGACCAGGGGGTTCTGCAGCCCACTCTGGAGGTGACTGGGTGTGGTTCTCTGACCCTTGGGCCAGTGGGTCTCATTTAACCCCATGGAACATTCTAGAAATTCAGCAATTCAGAGCAGTCTTTGGAGCTTAAGGAAATGTCCCAGTGGTGCTGCCAGCCAGCTCTGAGAGTTCACTAACAACGTTCTAGCTGCTTCTTGTACGGTCTCATAGGGTCACTGTAAGTCGGAATCGATTCGACGGCAATGGATTTTTCTTTTTTCTTGTAAGGCAGATTCACAAGCACCTGAGCTCACCTTTTTTAGGGAACTTTGGTCCAGGCAAAATGCTTGATGACAAGTAGGGCCTCGTGGGCTTGATGGCGGCTTTTGTGGTTCTAAGTGGCAATGAACCAACCCTCTGCTCTGTTTTTCTTCCTCCAGAGAGAAAGTGCCCCCAAACAGCACTTTGACTAAGACGCTGACCCTGGTGCCCCTGCTGGCGAACAATCGGGAGAAGCGGGGCATCGCCCTGGACGGGAAGATCAAGCATGAGGACACGAACCTCGCCTCCAGTACCATGTGAGTGCCGGCACTGGCCCCAGGGTGGGGTTGGCGCTGGCCTGCTCCCCCTTCTTGTCTCACCCCTCCGGGCTCAGGGGCCGCGCGGGTGGGATGGCAGGGTGGGCCTTCGCGTGCAGACTTAGTGGCCCCCAATAAGGATTCCGCTCCCACCCCTGTGGACTCTGGAGACAGCCTTGTGCCAAACCCCAGCTTACCCTCTGCACAACCCTGGGTAAGTTACGTGAGTTCTCTGAGCCCCTCAGTTTTCCCATTTGTAAAGTGGGGGTGCTGACAGTTCCTATGTCCTACAAGGATTGAGATAACCCACGTAGCGTGGTGCCCAGCACACATTAAGCACTCAGTGAACATCAGCCACTACTTTTTTTTACCAACATGGAAGTCTCTACACCTTTCTGAGGAAGAAAGGTGTTTATACTCGTTTTGTTGATAAGGAGATTGAAGTTCAGCCAGAATGAGGGACTTGTCCAGGGTTACCTGGTCGGTTAATGGCAAAGCAAAGTCCTACTCCTGACCTTGAGCTTTTTGTTCCTTCCTCAACTTCAGGGCTGCCTTCTAGGGCCCTCAAAAGTGACACCTGCAGTAGAACCTGGATTAACAAGTGTGTGTGTGTGTGTGTGTGTGTGTGTGGAAGATCACAGTGTGAAAGCTTGCAGGTAATCTCAGGCATAGGTCAAAAGCGTATTCTGTCCCCAGCTTCTGTTTGGGCAAAGGGGGTGCCTCAGACTCACCCCCCTTTCCCCTTGAGGGGCAGCACTTGGCTACATTCCACAGTTCTAGGCAAGAGACATTTTGCCCTGTTCAAGGAGCTGCACCGGTGAGCTGGGGGCATCGTGTCCCATCAAGAGGCACCCGGTGCTGGATGTCTTCTTCCAGGCCCAGAACCTTCCTTGCTGTAACTCCAAACCACCATCTCAGCCCCCTTCCCAGACCTCTCAACACAGACCTTCCCTGCCTTCAGCCTCCTAGGCTAGGTTTTCCATCGTTATTCACGTATCTTAGCTAGTATTTCATGATTTTTTTCATACCTTAATTCCTGTTATTAAAAAAAGAAAAAACAAACTCATTGCCGTCGAGTCGATCCCGACTCATAGCAACCCTATAGGACAGAGTAGAACTGTCCCGTAGGGTTTCCAAGGAACAGCTGGTGAATTTGAACCGGTGACCTTTTGGTTAGCAGCCAAGCTCTTAACCACTGTGCCACCAGGCTGAATACGCACGTCCCCCATGTTGGATCGCGTGGAATAATAACCTGTGTTAAGATGCCTAGCACGATGCCTGTCAGTGGTGGGAGCTCTACCCCTCAGTGGACGCTGGATGTGAGGTTTCTGCCGAGGAAGTAACCCGATGCCCTCGGCACCTCCGTTCATTCACTGAGCTCTCACTCGATGCCAGGCAGGGTGCCGGGGGCTGGGGACTGTGGAGACACAGACAGGAGTAGTCACCATTCCCGACAATGGGGCTATAATAGAGGGTCCACGTGCCTTGTCCCTGAGCGAGGGCATAAAGGAGGGAGCCCAGCACTGCCTGCTGGGGTCCAGAGGGCAGGAGAGGCGGAGGGGGCTCCCAGGGGCAGGGTGGTGTTTGGGAAGCCTGGCACAGGGGTACAAGGTGGTCATGGCAGGCAGAGGTCAGAGCACAGAGTGCCAGCTGTGCCAGACTTGGGCTCGAACCTGGAAGCTCTTTCTGGCTTCAGGGGAGCCTGGCCCAGGGGAGAGAAGTGATAGAGATAATCGAGGCAGGAAAAGCCAGTGGGAGGAGTGGTGGGCTTGCCAGGGTGGCCGGTTATGGCGGGTGGGGGCCGAGGAGGAGCTGAGGAGGACACCGTTTCTGGCTGGATGGCCAGATCTACCAGCATCAACGGAGAAGGAACACTCTGCTGTCTTTGAACTTCTAGAGGGAAACACCAAGCTACACCGCATGAAAGGACCCCCCCACCCCAAATATGTAAAGTTCTAGGATTTTGACAGTACTGCTGTAACAGAAATACCACCAGTGGGTGGCTTCAACAAACAGATACTTATTTTCTCACAGTTCAGGAGGCTACAAGTCCAAATTCAGGGAGCCGGCTCTAGGGGAAGGCTCTGTTTGTTGGCTCCAGGGGAAGGTCCTTGTCTCTCAGCTTCTGTTCCTCGGTTCTTTGGAAATCGCCACATGGCGTGTATCTTCCCCTCCGTTTGTGCTTCCTTCTGTGTGCCTAATCTGCTCTTCACATCTCAAAGATGACTGGTTTAAGATGAGCTCTACACCGACAAGAGCCCTGGTGGCACAGTGGTTAAGAGCTTGGCTGCTAACCAAATGGTCAGCGGTTCAAATCCACCAGCTGCTCCTTGGAAACCCTATGGGCAATTCTACTCCGTCCTGTAGGGTCACTATGAGTCGGAATCAACTCAAGGGTAACAGGACCTGATATAGCCTCGTTAACATAGCAGAGAAAATCCTATTCCCAAATGGGATTACATCCAAGCTATAGGGTTTAGGATTTACAAGACGTCTTTCTGGGGGGCACAATTTAGTCCATAACAACGCGGTTTATGGCTGGATGACCAGATCCACTAGCATCAATGGAGGAGGAGAAGCACTCTGCCCTCTGAACTTCCAGAGGGGAAACGCCAAGCTATAATGCATGAAAGGAACCCCCTCCCCTGCCCGGAATATGTCAGGTTCTAGGATTTTTGACAGCTCAGTGGAGTTCTCCATTCCCTAGGAAGAGCCCTGCTGGAGGGCCGACCTGGATGGAAGGGGAATGGGTGTGCTCACCTGGTCCTTGGTTTCTGCAGCCATCTGCATTCTTCTCCTTGTCTTTTCTGTCTGGGCAGCATTAAGGATGGCATAGACCGGACCATCCTGGGGATCCTGGTGTCCTACCAGATCAAGGTGAAGCTCACGGTGTCAGGGTGAGTGTCCTGGTCAGGGTGAGTAGCCTGCTCTGTCTTGGCCTTCACATCTGAACTGTCCCTTTTCTGAAGGGTTGGGAGACAGAAAGGAAGGGAAGGTCCACAGATCTATCTACTGATCACAAAGTGGAGTTTTGGAGAGACTGTATTTGTGTTGTTTCACAATTCGGTCCGACATAGCATTAAGTGGGAAAACGTAGAAGAGCTGCTGACGAAATCTGTACAATCAGAACAACGTTGCAAAAAGAGACATGCATATGTGCATGCAAGGAGTCCTGGTGGCACAGTGGTTAAGCGCTTGGTGCTAACTGAACCCACCAGCCACTCAGCAGGAGAAAGATGTGGCAGTCGGCTTCCGTAAAGATTACAGCCTTGCCTGGCTACTACCACTGACTGCTCTGACAGGGATCACAACAGAGGGTCCCGGACAGAGCTGGAGAAAAACGTAGAACAAAATTCTAACTCACAAAAAAAGACCAGACGTACTGGCCTGACAGAGACTGGAGAAACCCCAAAAGTATGGCCTCTGGACACCCTTTTAGCTCAGTAATGAAGTTGCTTCTAAGGCTCACCCTTCAGCCAAAGATTAGACAGGCCCGTAAAACAAAATGAGACTAGGGGGACACAACAGCCCAGGGACAAGGATTAGAAGGCAGGAGGGGACAGGAAAGCTGGTAATAGGGAACCTAAGGTCGAGAAGGGAGAACATTGACATGTCGTGGGGTTGTTAACCATTGTCATAAAACAATATGTGTACTAACTGTTTAATGAGAAACTATTTGTTCTGTAAACCTTCATCTAAAGTACAATAAAAAAAATTTTAAAAAGGATTACAGCCTTGGAAACCCTATGAGACAGTTCTGCTCTGTCCTACAGGGTTGCTGCAAGGCGGAATAGACTCAATAGCAAAGGGGAGTGGGTAGGTGTCCGCACAGGCAGTGGAACTTGATGTGCAAACATGAAGTTAGCTTAATGTTATATTGTATTTGGGGGGAAAATGGCGGCCACAATATGAGCTCTCAGTAAATCTTCATTCATTTGTGTCTGAAGAGGCATCCATCCACAAAGGAGTGAACTTTCTTTCCTTTCTCGTCTACCTGCTGTAATTACAGGATTTTTCATCGAGACCCCAGATATGTTAGAGTTTGGAGGAAACAGTTTTCCAATCTTGTGGGGAGTAAAAGTCCATTTCTTTAATCTCCACCGAAAGGGGAAAACTCTTGGATTCTCATTTTTGTTTCCAAATTCCATTGCTAAAGGCTCTAGCCTTTTACCTGGATGACCCTCGGTAGTTCAGCCATTAAAGAAAGGCCACCTACATGTCTGTATTTCTAACCAGATAAAGAGTCCCTCGGATTTTGGTTAGGGCATCAAAGTAGAACCTGGGGCTGTTTTGCATATTAGGCCCACACAGTGTTTACATTTCTTGTGTTTATCAAATGCATAGTGTTTTCTTGCATTTTCCCTGAGATGATCTAAAAACAGGGTGGAGATTCTTTTAACAGTCAAAGGGTAACATGTATTTCACAATGGCCAGAGAGAATTTCTGATCCTGCAGCTTGTTCTTGAACTACAGGCCTTGAACCTTTAGGTTCCTCTTCTTAACTGACCCCCCTGAGAAAGAGATGACCTCACAAGTGGAGGGGAAGAATTAAGTGGACTAGCAAGGCTGCCAAGGCCCTGGGAGTTGTGAGTCAGGGAGCACTGCGGCTGGGCTTGTTCTGCACGGAAGCTGTGTGACTTCGGGTGCCCTGTCTGTCCATAGATCTCTTTGTTTTTGTTTCCTAGCTTTCTGGGAGAGCTCACCTCCAGGTAAGCCTCTTCGCCTTTCTCCTCTGCTTGATTCCCAGGATATCAAGACAGCAGACCTAGGTTCAAACACAGGAGCTGGTGAAATCTGATTTCAGGGCACTTGTGCTCAGAAGTGTTAGGGAATGAAGACACCGCCTTCAGATGCATCAGCACTGCTTGGCTGAGATGTGAGGCTGGGGTGCTTGTTTGAGACCATAGCTGGGCCTATACCTGGGCAAGGACACACACGCACACACACACACACACACACATACACACACACTCACATACACACACACCCTGAAAACTGGCTCGCTCCAAGCAGCTGCCTTTTTTTGTTAATTGTGGTAAAATACACATCACCTAAAATTTGAAATTTTAACCATTTTAAATTGTACAATTCAGTGGCAGCAAGTACAGTCACGATATTGTGCAACCGTCACCACTGTCTTATCACCCCAAAAAGAAACCCGTACCCATTAAGCAATCACTCCCCGTTTCCCTTCCCTCTAACCCCTACCAACTACTAATCTACTTCCTGTCTCTATAGATTTGCCCATTCTGGACATTTCATAGAATTAGAATCACACGGTATTTGTCCTTCTGTGAATGGCCTCCTTCACTTAGCATGAGGTTTGCAAGTTTCGGCTGCGTTGTACCATCTGTCAGTACTTCGTTCCTTTTCATGGCTAAATAACACGTTTCACGTATCCATTTCGTTTTTGACAGACGTTTGGGTGGTTTCTACTTTTTGGCTATTGTGAATAGAGATGGCTGCCTTCTAAATCATGCACAAAGAAGGAACACGTTAGGAGTGTTTGAGACAGGTGCTGACCCTCCATACTCCGCTACCCCAACTCCTATCATCTCTTTCCCTCACATGGAACCCTAGGTGTTCCTTTACACCTGGATCCCTTCTGCACCTGGGTCTGACAAGATGGCTTCATTGTAAAGAGATGTGTTTGGACCAAAGAGGTGACCTCTGGGTAGGCGGCAGTGGGTTCTGGGGGAAGCAAGGAGTAACCCTTGCCACCCGTCTTCCCGCTGTGCCAGTCTTCATCTGTCTGATTTCCCTTCTGCTTTTTATCCCTGTCTCCTTTCTTCCTTCTTTCTGGGCAAATTCCAAGCTGCCCAAAGCCCTTTGGCTTGAGGAATCCTGTGGACTCTCCCAAACCCTGTTCTGCCCCTTAGCAGGCAACCTTGTGTCTTGCCCCACAACACACCAGCCTCACGTAGATTTTAAAATATAAAAGATAATGCACTTTTTTGCAAAAAAAAAAAAAAATTTTTTTAAACTATCATTTCTCCAGGATCTCACCTCTTTTGTCCCCACAATATTACATCACTGCAACCAATAACTAGGAGTAAGGGGAGGTGGTCCAATGGTAGACTTCTTGCCTTCCGCATGGGAGGCCTGGGTTCAATTCCTGGCTAATACCCCTCATGTGCAGCCACCCTCCGTCTGTCAGTGGAGACTTGCTTATTGCTACGATGCTGAATGGGTTTCAGCAGAGCTTCCAGACTAAGACTAGGAAGAAAGGCCTGGCGATCTATTTCCAAAAATCAGCCAGTGAACACCCTATGGATCACAATGATATGATCCACAACTGATCACGGGGATGGCGCAGAATCCAGCAGCATTTTGCTCCCTTGGCAGGGGGTCACCATGAGTCGGGGGCTGACTCGACAGCAACTAACCAACAACAAGAAGAAATACTAGCTGCCTTGGCCATGATTAAATGCAGTTTCTGGACCACATTCCAGGGGATAATACACTTAAAATTCCTCCTCGTCCACTTCCTGACTTCTGGGGTCTTGTTTGCGTGGGTCTTTTTTTAATTCCACTGAATTCTCGTTCAGATTGAGCCCGAGAATCTTTTGTGAACCTCTGCAGCCACAGTTCTTCAGGATGTGATTTATAATCGTGTGTGTCTGTGTGTGTGGTGTGTGTCTGTGTGTGTGGTGTGTGTGTGTGTGGTGTGTGTGTGGTGTGTGTGCGTGTGTGTGTGGTGTGTG